TCCGACCTTCAGGGATCCCACAGTGCACAATGACATTTTCAAGTGACGTGTGGTGCAGTCTCCTGATACCTGGCCATCTAGTTCCAAAACAAGGCTTACAGCTTTCCTGGCTGCCATAGCCTACAGCCAATGCCATCGGGAAAGGAGATGTTCTTTAAAGACCCCTCTGCCTTCGACTGAGACCTGGGTTAAATTAAGAACTTATCTTTCATAAATTTCTTTCTAAGTTTCTTACATGATTAAGGCTCTAGGGAAACACTGACTACCTAAAAAGAACAGGAAGACATTTTGCATTTCCAAAGTGACTTCTAAGTAAAATGTCGATAAACAGCATAATTACCCTCATTGCTGGAACTCTATGAGTTATTCTTTGTTTTTTTTTTTGGGTTTGGTTTTTTTTTGCCAGTACCGGCAATCCAACTCACAACCTTGCGCTTGCCAGGCAGGCGCTGTGCCACTGAGCTAAATTCCCAGCCCCACTCTCTGAGTTATTCTTGTATACATAAAAATAAAGGTATCCAGACTCACACTCAGAGTAGATGCCTTCATGGTGATGCCTGCTTTCTAACTAGAAAACATAACTCTATTTACTTCACTATAAAGTCCACCTCTACCCCTTTTGGCTGCCTGTGTGTCTTCACTGAATGTCTTCATCAAGGGCACAAAGAACCGAGGACCAAAGAGGGAAGGGATCGCTTTCTTGCTGCACCGGGACCCAGCTTCCCAGCAACACCTGGGACTCACTGTTCAGTGACGATCATCCCTTTCCTGCTCTCCTCTGTTTCTGGGCATGCTCATTTGCTAACTCCCCTCAATGTTTCTGCTCACCTAGAGTATATGCCTCAGTGTTCTTCTCCATAATCCTGGGTAGATCTCATCCAGTTCCCTGTCTCCATTATCCTAATCTATGGAGGGCTTCCCTGCAGATATCTCCAGTGGAGCCTCTGCATTTAATGGATTGTTATTGCTAACTCCTGATGGGTATGTTCTCTTAGATAATACCAATCTCAGCCTCAGTGTCAAGGACATCCTTGTGCATCTTCTGGGTTTTAAAAACAATTTCTCCTCCCTGAATTCCCCACCTTAGAGAAACAAAGATTGACCTTAGCATGAAGGAATTAAATGTATGATACACTGAAGTCTCTGCTTCTTTACTTAACTGCTAATGCATACTGTTTTGGCCCCTGCCCCACCTGGTTCTCAGGCTTCCTAAGGTCAATCCTAAGGCCTCAAATCTACCATGATCTCCTAGCCCTGCAGACCAGAAACTCCTTCCTGTCCTGCATTCTCCAAATGTCTACACTGCCAAGTCTTACTGAGTCTCCCTTCTCTAATTCCTTCATGCCCATCACTGTATCTCTGTTTCCTTCTACCACTCCTTGGTAATGGCAGCAGCAGCATTATCAAAAGACTCAAATCCAATTAACAACACAAGTGCCTTGGAAGACTTTTCCTAGACGCAGGCCCGATGTTATGAAAAATTTCAAGAGACTGTGAATTGCTTTTTGCTTTCTTTTCTTTAATCCGCAAGCACAGAACTACTTATATACCTGAATAGTTAGATTTTTATATCAGTATTAAGAATTGGGTACTACTTTGCCTTTGTTTCTCAAACCAGCTCAAACATTTCAAAAGTTTTCTTTTCTTTTCTTTTCTTTTCTTTTTTTTTCTTTTTCCATACCGGGAACCAAACTCACAACGTTGCACTTGCCAGGCAGGCTTTGTGCTGCTGAGCTAAATCCCCAGCTCAAAAGTTTTCTTATTAGGCCTAGGAAGTTTGGCCTTCACAGGACAGCGGCAGGAATGTCAACTTTGTCTTCTCACCAAAAAGGTATAAATGCGGTCACTAAATTTCCTGTAGCAGTTTGGGAATCCTGAAGATTCTGAAGAATTCCTCAGAGTCCTACCCAGTCACAGGGAGAACCAGACTGTGTTGCCTTGGCCCTGTGGGCCAAATTGCTAAGATGGCTGGTGATAGGTACCACGGCAGTATCCTGCCAAGGCCTGGCCCCACGGTGAGAGGGACTGGGTCAGGCAGGCCACACTTCTTCAGAAAGTCAGGGTAGATATACTCTGTTGTTTCCTCCCCCTATGGAGGGGAGAGAGCTCAGCAGGACTGAGGGGTAACTCTGTGGTACTCTTTCATGGTCCAAGCCCAGAGCTTCTTGTGTATCAGCCCTGGAAGACAGAACATGATGCAGATAAGGCCCTGTCCTTAAAGATCATCTTTGACAGGAAATATAAGAATAAGCCAGAGGGCTTCCACGGTCCCAAAGCGACCCAGAGTGGCCAGGCCTTGGCTTGCCCAGTGTCCCTCCCTTTCTCCTTCTACCCTCTGTCTTTGAGTTTGGTGAGGATTCCTCTGTTAGCAAGTGGGGAAGTGGCAAGAAAGTGAGAGAAGGTTAAAGGCAGGACATCCCTGTTCTCACTAAGGCAGGGACCATTGAACTGCCTTAGCCATGACACATGCAGGGTATCCTCGAATCCCAGGGCCATGGAGGTCTTGGATATTGTTGGTGTTTCAAGTTGGTTGGCATTTTGCTTTTAAATCTGCCTGAGTTTTTGTTCCATTCAGGGTCTATGACCATTATGGGGAAATGCTCTGATATGGAAAACTACATGCTCAGTGGTAAGCAGGGGTCTGCTTAGCTCTGCAACACTGGGAAGTCACTTATCCTCTGAGAACTTCTTAGCACATTTCCATAATGAGATGCTGGGTGCAAAGGTGCTGTCCCTAGACAGCTCTAAGTTATTGCCACTTTTGGACATAATTGAGTGCAGATCCCGAGGATCCCGTTGTCTGAGTCTGAGTGCCCTGGTCAGGGAACATGGGATCCACATTCGTTTTCTAGGGTTATGTACTAGTCCATTCTCTGTTACTATAACAAAATACTGGAGGTTGGCTATTTTATAAAGCTCTTTATTTGGCTCATAATTCTGAGGGCAAGGGGCCCATTATAGCATGGTACTAGTGTCCTGGCAAGGGGCTCCTGGCTGGGTCAAAATATGGTGGAGAAAGGGGAAAGCATGCAAGTGCCCTCACTGTTATATTAGTAAGTGCTGGCTGGAACTAACTCCACAGGACGAGCATCAGTCCCCTCCCCATGCGAGTACCCATGGCTGACCTGTCCTGCACTACGCCCTATTCCCCGAAGGCTCCACCACTTCTCAGCCTGGCTATGCTGGTGGCTACCACATCCTTGTGGTGACACAACTTTCAGCACATGGGAAACTTTCAGGGGACACATCTCAAATCATAGCTGGCAACTGCAACACATTACCACAAACTGGGTGGCTCTACTAACAGTTCTTGAGCCTGTTCTTGAGCCTAACAACAGTTCTAATAACAGTTCTCGAGCATAACAACATCAAAGTGTTGGCTTGTTCATGTGCTCCTTTCTCTGTGTGCTGATCTTCTCTTCTTACAAAGGTGTCAGTCATTCTGTATTAGGCCCACCCTAATGGCTCCATTTTAATTTAATCACCTCTTAATCTGATCTTCTAATACAGTTTAATTCTGAGGAACTAAGGGTAGGACTTCAAGATATGAATGGGGGTGAGTGGGCATAATTCAAACCATAACAGAGCCTATTCTGAATCCCTGATACTAGACCTAAAAACAGGAACCTCCTGTCAGGAGGGGCCATAGCCCTTTCTGTTCTCTCCCTTCTTCACTCTTGAAGAGCAAATGCTTGTCAAAAGTACTTCTTCTTTTCTTCTCCCTTCTGTGAATTCTCTCTTTCTTTCTCTCTGTCTTTCTCCTCTCTTTTGAGACAAAGTCTCACCTTGCAGTTCAGATTGGCCTCAAACTCGCAGTAATCTTCCTGCCTCAGCCTCCCTAGTGCTGAGATTACAGGTGTGTGCCACCATGCCCTGCACCCTCTGTGAATTCTCATCAGCGCTTTTACCTAACTGTATTGAGATAAAAACATCACCAGCCATTCCTAGGTACAAATAAAGATCCACAAAGTTCAGGTACATCTGTAGTGTAGCCTCTGCAAGATCCTGTCCCAGTCCCTTAGCCAAACACACTGGTCCTTCACTTCTCTCACCTGGTGAGGAATTCTTCCCTGAGCCAACCTCAAGCTGGACTCATAGCTTCCGGAGCAAGATGCTGGTAGGGGAGAATGTTGTCTTGAGAGCCACCAAGGAATGTAACTTAGAGCCCTGGGGCACACTTAACAAAAACCTACACAGCTCCAGGCTGCATCTCATGCCATCTTTCAGGAGGTATTACGGTATACACGAGAGCAGGGAGCTATATATACTACCCAAGATCTAGCTATCAGAAAGCGGCTTGGGTTACGCCTGTCACTGAAGCCCAGGTCCACCATACGTCTTGCTGCTGCGTGACCCACGTTCAGGCCCAAGCTCTCAGGAGTCTCAGAATAATGGATATGACACCAGAACCTTGTTTGTCCTCTGGCCGAGGCCTATCTGGAAGTACCTGGGGCATTATTGGCCATGTTGAACTGGGATACAGAGGTGGGAACCACTATGTCCTGTGCATGGTGAGACCAGGAAGAGAAAAAAGAAAACAAAACAGGAAAAGAGCTCACAGCAGTAGATACTGGGAATGCTGACGATTAAGAAACCCAGAGGAAGGTGTGGTGGTACACCACTGTAACCCCAGCACTCAGGAGGCTAAGGCAGGACGATCTCGGAGTTCCAGAGCAGCCTGGGCTACCAGGTGAGCTCAAGGCCAGCCTGAGATGCAGGAGATCCTGTTTCAAAAAGACGCCCCGCCCCCCAAAAAAATCCAGAGGAAATTCTTCAGGTGCACCTATAAAACGTGGAGATGAGTACCACCATATACTACTGCTGAGTGTGGCCCAAGTGGAGAGGGAAACTAAACACTGTACTCTGAACACCCGCTTAATCAGGAGTTAGATGAGGCCGTATCTTAAAAAGCATGACTCTACGATGCTTCCTTTAGTCTTTTGGGAGGAATGAGTAACTCGGCGGACACAAGTGCACAGCGCCCTTACAGCCCAATTCACCAACCGCATTTTCCGGACCGAAAGGCCGAGCGCCGCCAAGTGACGAAGCGGCCCTGAAGCCCCTGGCGCCGCGCCCCGCTCCCCTCCCACCTCGTCCCCCCGAGGCGGCCGAACAGGCAGCGCGAAGGCGCGCGGGGTGTGGCCGTGCTAGTGCCCCCGGGCCGCAGAGGAGCGAAGCCGCGGCCGAGCACAGTAACCAGGAGGCGCGGCCGGAACACACCCGGTCCTGGCCGGCCCTGGAGGCCCAAGCGCCCCCCTCCGCACGCCCTTGTGCCGAGGGCGGCCCAGAGCGGGCAGCACGAGCGGTACAGCCCTTTCCGATGCCGCGTGGTTGGCTCTGAAAAGAGCCTTTGTGTAGGACGGGCGGGGCGGACGAGGGACGGAGCGCGCGCTGCTTAGGCCCGCTCCCCGCGGATGCGGCGAGCCAGCTGGATGTCCTTGGGCATGATGGTGACGCGCTTGGCGTGGATGGCGCACAGGTTGGTGTCCTCGAACAAGCCCACCAGGTAGGCCTCGCTGGCCTCCTGCAGCGCCATCACGGCCGAGCTCTGGAAGCGCAGGTCCGTCTTGAAGTCCTGCGCGATCTCGCGCACCAGCCGCTGGAAGGGCAGCTTGCGGATCAGCAGCTCGGTGGACTTCTGGTAGCGCCGGATCTCGCGCAGCGCCACGGTGCCCGGCCGGTAGCGGTGCGGCTTCTTCACGCCGCCCGTGGCCGGCGCGCTCTTGCGGGCCGCCTTGGTGGCCAGCTGCTTCCGCGGGGCCTTGCCGCCGGTCGACTTGCGGGCGGTCTGCTTCGTCCGGGCCATGGCGCGCGGGGACGCGAGGTCAACGGGACAGCGGCCGCGACCTTAAGGAGCAGCAGGGCTGGCGCAGCAGCCTTTTATAGGCACAGTCTTTTCTCGACTGGGCGGGAGGGGGGAAAAAAAAAACAATTGAAAGGCCCGCGCTGGCGGACCATTGGCTGTGACGCCACCCGTCCCCGCGCCGTTGAATGGCTCGGGCCGCTTCCCCGCCGCTTCCCCGCTCTCGCCGCGCCCCGCCGCGCCCCGCCGCGCCCCGCCTCGCTCCCTACTTTCCCCTTTGCCAGCAGTTTTCCGACCTCGTTCTCCGTGGCTGTCTGAGTGCAGGTCGCCTCTGAGCGCTGCCCAGCGTCTGTCAGCCGGTCCGCCTTGCTCCCTCAAGACGGGCCGCCGCGACGCCTCTCTCCCTCCCGCGCTGCAGTGTGGGTCCGGAGTTGAGGCTCAACTTTTCGCCTCTTGTGGCTTTCCAGGCCGCCCTCCCTGCCGGTCGTTTCTCTCCGCCCGCTCGTGGCCTTTCGGTGGAGGTCACGCTTCGAAGGCCGAAGGGGCGAGCCCGGGCCTTCGCCACGAAAGCTACTGAGGGCTACGTCAGACGTGCCCCAGCGCGCGGCGAGGCTCCCGCCGGGACCGTCCCCCCGCCCC